CTTTAATCTCCTTCCCCAACTAGGATTGTGCTCAAAGCATCCCCTTTAGTATTCATTTAAAAAAAAATTTTAGGGTGCCTGGGTGGCTCAGTTGGTTAAGCGACTGCCTTCGGCTCAGGTCATGATCCTGGAGTCCCGGGATCGAGTCCTGCATCGGGCTCCCTGCTCGGCAGGGAGTCTGCTTCTCCCTCTGACCCTCCTCCCTCTCATGCTGTCTCTCATTCTCTCTCTCTCAAATAAATAAAATCTTTAAAAAAAAAAAATTTTAGATGTGACACCAAAACTCAATAGAGAATGGAGAGATTTGAGAGTTCTCTCATGAAAATTGGAGTAGAAACTCAAAGAGTCATGATCAATACTGAAGCATTTGGAGAGAGAGGGAGGGGTAGGGGGCGAGATCTGAATATTTGGAAATGAATGTCCACATGTCTACATTTGGAAGTTGGGAAAAGAAAAAAAAAAAAATGCTGAGAGGAGTGGCCAAGGAAGTTGGAGAAAGTTAATATGTCAGAGAGGTTGCACTAAAAGATAATCAGATAATCATAAGAAAGCAGCGTTGGCAAGCCATTTGTTTGATGAAATGACCTGTAACTTTTAAAGTGTTTTTCCAGAGATGGGGGGGGGGAGCTATAAATGGATTTTCACTGTCTGACATCTCTTTTAAATGTATTTGTAATAAAGGATTTCACAAGTTAGCACCATTTCCATATACAAATGGAATTGTAAAACTGTAAGCCTTAGAGAAAAGAAACTGTTTTATTTCTTGAGCATATTACATTGTCTAGCACGGCATTAGGCAGCTAGCATTTATATAATAAAAACTGTTTATTATGGTTAAATTGACTCGTCATAGGAGCAAGAAACATTGCATTGCTGTGGGAGGACCTGGGGGGATGGAGGTGAGTAATCCTGGCTCCACTGAAGTTGAGAAACTAGAGGAAAATGAAGCCAACACCTCTCATAGTGATGAAAGCATAAACTGATCCTAGCCAGGGTCTTAACCAAAAGGGAAACAATCCAGGGTAGTCCACAGAGAGCACATTGGACCAATAACCAGATTTCAGTGAACCAGGTCAGAAAAATGTGAAAATTTCAGCTAAAAAAAGCCCAGCCTTCCATGAATCCCAAGATATGGGCAACCCTTCCCGATACATAGGTACATGAAGGTGTATACACCACCACAGATATGGCAAAGGAATTGGGCAAGACACCCTGGGACTTGTTAAATGGGAAATGATGGCACTGGATGAATAGAAGGGAATAATGAGAGCCAGACGAGGGGGATAGGGAAGTGTTAAAGTTGGAAGAAGTGGAAACAAAAGGTTAGGAATACAGCATGCTATTTGCCTTTTAAGTGACATTTTGGTTTGTACTAAGCACATTTCTTAGAATTAAGAGTCAGTTACGATGACTCACTTCTTTCAAGATTCATATACAAAATGACTTTTTTTTTTTTTTTTACTAAGTATGATGTTTAGGAATCTAAGAATTCTGCTTTTAGGAAATACATCATGATGATTTTTTTTTTTTTTGATATGTCACTTCACCTAAACCCACTGTGAAGAAATGGTTAAAAAAACAAATCCCAGAAGAAATTAAATTTTATTTCTCAAACTATCTCAAGCATCAACTATTCACTGTATTCTTTGCCTATGCTGAAGAAATAGGGATTCATGGCAAATGTGATCTACATAATCGAATCCACAATGTTACCATAAATATAACACCCTCTGATGATGTCACATTATAGCTACTCTTTTAAACCGCAGACATTTTAACTTTTTTTTTTTTTTTACCAAATATTAAAACAGGGCAGAACGAAAGCCTTGTTATATTTGACAACCTAGGAAGATCGTATGACACTGAGAACTCTGCCACATATGAGACTGGCATGAAGTGGGTGGAAAAATGGCTCGATGGATGGAAACTTGAATTGGCCATAAACATCAGGAATGAAGAACAACTTTCCAGAGTCAGGCTGTGGCCCAAATCCCACTCAGGCCAGTTGGCTCTGGATCGAAAAAAGCCAGCCCAGCTCGTAAAGAGAAGATCCGTATCTGAATATTACCTTACACAGAGCAAAGGCATGGCCTTGTGCCAAGAGGAGACAGAAGTGCTTCTGATTATTCATTAGAACGGCAGCCTTAACCTTTTAAAGGAGCCCCAATCAGCATCCCAGCAATGGAAGGGCACAGAGCCTGGACTCCCCCCAGGGCTCCAGAGTAAGCCACACCTTAAACTAGACTCCAAGGCACTCAGGTGTAGACCATGCTTGCTCTCTGATCCCCCTGGGTGCTCTCAATGTGGACATTACCTTCAGGAGAGAAGTCAAGGACCACTCCCCAAAGCCCTACGCCACCATATTAAAAGCAGGAGTGGAGAACTTTTACACTCCGAATTTTGACTTCTGGCCTTCGATCTGCCGTTAGCTAACCACACAGACCATTTAACTCAGTCTCCTGAGAAAATTTGAAGAGTGATAAAAAAAACAAACAAACAAACAAACCCAAAAAAAACACCACATGTGAGAAAGGATCAGAATCCACATGAGAGGTCATTTAAATGAGAAAGCGAGAGTATCTTCAAAGGGGGGGTAAAAAGCATCTAAACCTAAAATATTTCATTTCTAAGATTGATTTTATTGATAAAAGCGATTAAACTATTTGGGGACCTTATTTCTCTCAGGTTATTTCCAAAGATCAAGTGTCGTGAAAAATTCAAACAAGGCAACTGGCTTTACTAGAGAAAAAAAATGCCCATTTAAAAAAAAAAAAAAAAAGTGTGTCCTGCTACATATTGCTGTATGTAAAGACCAAATGAGGTGCACTGAAGCTCTCAATAAATGTGCAAATTTATTACTCCAAATATCATGCAAAGAGGTCTAGGAAACCACAGAACTATGTATTATGATATAATATATATTATATTATATGTACTGTTAAATTATCCTCATTCTCTGTAATACCTCATTTAAACATCAGGTAATACAAGTTATATATTAACAGAATGTTAATTGGGCATTAACACTGCTCCCTCTTCAAAAATACAACGCGGGGAGCCTGGCGGCGCAATCTGCTAAGCGACCCCACCTGGTTTCAGCTCAGGTCCTGATCTCAGGATCGTGGGAATGAGCCCTGCGTGGGACTCTGTGCTCAGTGCGAAGTCGGCTTAAGACTCTCTCCCTCTGCCCTTTGCACGCGCTCTTTCCCTTTCTCAAATAAATCAATCTTTAAAACAAAGAAAATACAATGCAGTTGTATCCCCACGTGACCAGCTGAAAGAGAGCACCTACTGTGGTCCTGTATGGCTTCAGGTGGGCACTCCTCACAGATCTCACTCATGAGAAAACTGTCCTAAAGGGAGCCTGGGAACAGTAGGGATGGGGGGGGTGGGGGTGGAGATTACCTTCTGAAGATGTAAAGCACAGTTAGAGAACTCACAGCACAAAAGTTTCTTAAAGCACAGAATAATGGAAGTAGGGTATTGTTGTTGTTTAAATAAGAAAAAAATCTGCTCTAGTTTCAATGAGAAAGTATGAGTATCTCCACTCTAAAGGAACCCATAGCCCAAAAGAGGAAAAGAGCTAATACCCGCTCTAATTTCCTTTGAATTTAACTGGACTGTGAGTGTTTTTTAATGATTTGGTCTTTAAAGTGCATAATTTACTTAAAAAGGCACATAATGAAGATGGAAAATGCATGCTTTATTTTGTGCTGGGAGACACTTCTTTTGTTTCGCTATCAATACCTTGAAATATCTCCACATATCAATTAGTCCCCAGTAATCAAGGGGCTAAATGGGCTCTACTGTTTCATCAGCTTCACATTTGCCTGGAATCATGAAACTGCTTCCTTATGTTACTAGTCCCAAAGCTCTTCTTGGTAGCTCCTCAACCTCCTCCCAGGCCCTTGCTCCCACACTCACAGGCACACACCACCTTTCTCAAGCTGCTAAAACAACATGCCCAGCCAGACGAAAGATGCTCAGACAGAGGGAAACTTTGATGTCCCGCCCATTGCTGATTCTCCCTCATCTGCCTCCTCTCCGCCCCCCATGCCACTCCTATTTTTTTCAATGTATCCCCAAACTTAGAAAGCAGCTGTTAACATAGATAAAAGGAGTTAACAGCAAAGTGTGTCTAAACTAGAGGTGTGTGTTCTGTGTGTTTTTGTTAAGGAGAAAGAGGTGTGTCTGTGTGTGTGTTCAAGACAGGAAGTTTGAGGTTTTGCATGGGAAGGAGGAAAGGAGGTGAGTACGTTCCTTGCTTTAAAAACGTTAATTTCTTAGAAACTAAGTATCCGGCAAGTTAGTAATAAACATACCCCACCCTTATGTACGTGAGCTGCAAAGTTCAAGTGCCCGCGTCCAGGGCGGTGATTAAAGGTAGCATTCAAATGAGGAGACGGGGTTAAGGTGTGTCTTTTAAACTTTGGATGCGACCCTTTCTAGAGCCCCTCCCGGGCTGGCGGGCAAGACCAGGAGCGTCGCGGCTCCGTGCGGGATTCTCGCTGTCCCCCGGCCCTGGGAGGAGCAGCCCCCCGCAGAGAACCCACAGGAGCCAGCGCGGAGGCCGCCGCTGGCAGGCCCCGGTGCAGGCGGAGACGCGGGGAAAGGCCGGGACCCCGAGCCCCGCGGGCTCAGGCGCCGCAGACACACCTCCCAAGGCAGGTTTTACAAAGCGCGAAGCCCCGGCGTGGTGCCCCGCTGCAAGCAGGCGCGCGGTGCACAGGCATGCAAGGCAGGACGCAAGCTGCTTTCCTCCCACTCACCTACCCGCACCCTGACTCCCAGACCCGCCCCCCCGCCCCCGCCTCCCCGGCCAGCCATGCCTCAGTTGGCCTCCGGAGCAAGTCCGTTTTGGAGGCAGCCCCCTCGCAGGGACTACCAGGCAGCCTCTCTGCCACTCGTCCCGCCATCAGCGGCGGCACCCGGACAAGTGGGCGAGGGTAAAGGAAAGTCGCCCGGGGCCGCCGCCGAGGATCGCGCTGCTTCCCACTTACTTGGAGTGGCAAACGCCGCACGCGCTCGGGCTGCCTTTGTTGAACGCGGCGAGGCTCTGCGCTCGGTCGGGTGCCGGGTGGCCGCTGGCTGCGCCCTCGCTGCCGGACGCTGACCGCCCGGGCTCCCGCTCCCCTGTGCCCGCTTCGGCTCGTCCTCCGCGCGGCGGCTCCGTCGGCGGGATTTGGGACGGGCAGGCGGGGAACCCGATCCAGCCTCGGCCTCCGCTGCGCCCTGCCGGGGAGGGAACGGAAGGGAAGTGGAGAAGGGGAGGGATGAGCGGAGCGGGCAGGGCGAGGACGCGGGCTGGGCGAGGGAGGGAGCGCGCCTTTCCCTCGCGAGCTGATTGGGAAGCTCATTAAAGGCAGGAGTCTCCAGGGCCGCTCTCGCCCCGCAGGAGCGAGCGCACGGGTTTGAACCAAGAGGCCCGGAGATGAAACGTTGTTTTGTTGGGAGCAGAGCCCCGCACAACCTTTCTTGTCCAAACTTTCGGCCCGACCTGTGCTTTAGGTGGGTGCGCACCCCGGCTTCACAAGGGGGGTCGCTTACATGGACAGCTGATAGCATTTTAGGATACAATTTGGGCCCCATTTTTTTTTTTTCAAATGATATTCGGGATGAAAGAGCCCAGTCTTCAAAAGCGGCCTCTCATTCCTCCCCCCACGCGCACACACCCTCCCCTGCACCCAGCTCCGGTTCCTCCAGCTGTCAGTCCCGTCCCACCTGCGCGTCACAAATGTGTGAAGTCCTTTCTTGCGCTTGTCACCAAGAGTGACAGATGTCTGGAGGTTCCCAATTAAATGCCACTTTCCTTTAGGGGGCTCTTTCCTTTCTTGGCTTCCTTGGTGCCTGGAGTGACCTACTTAGTGACATGCCTTTGACACCCAAGGGTTTAGAGGCTTAATCAATGTAGCTCAAACTCTGGTCTTAGTGAAACTCAGAGGCTGGGCTGCTTGGCTTTCTGGATTTCCATTATGTTGGCTTGAGAAACAATGCTAAGGTAATACAGCTAGGGTTGTTTGGATAACCTATAGATGTTTCTGATACAGATGAGATAAAAGTATCGCATAAAATAATTGGGAAGTATAAAACAAATTTCCCCAAACATTTCAAAAAGTGAGTTTTGAGATTTTCTGCTACTCATCAGTTCTTGCCTGCTGCGTCTTCCTTTTACTTCCTTCCAATTTATCATTCGATGGCATCCTCCCGCAAATGGTTGCAAAATAAACTTCCATTTTCCACAGTTCTGAGGTCACATCCCTTCAATTCAGTTTGGTAAATATTAAGTGCCTTAAATAACTCTGAAAATTTACATTTGCTGAGAACCATACTCAACCCCCCAAATTAGAAGCACTGTTTTGTGGCAAGTAGTTCTCAGAGATTTGGGGCTCTTACGTTGACTGCTACCTGGACAAATGTCCCAGGAAGGTGCCCACTAGGGTCCAAGAGGTGTCTCTACAAGTAGACCTTTTAATCAGTCAACCAACCATTTTTTTTTTCAAAAGGGGAGGCATCAGAAATTCACTTACAAACCTCCCATCTATCCCTATACCCAAATTCTTCATACACACACCACATATCATCCTAAAGCAGAAATAAATGAATAAGGAGCTGTGTCCCCTCTACTCACAGACTTTATGTGACTTCTTTCCCCCTTGTGATTCCATTTTCCCAGTGATGAAGCAATATTTGTTTTAGTGTGATTTCATCTGTATAAATTAGGGAGGAATGCACATTGTTCTTCATTATTTTTATTTTGCCAAAGCTCTTTTCTGAAAGAGACTTCTCAACATTCACTATCACTCCTGAAGGGTAGAGTTTCTAGGCCTTTAAACAAGGGGGTATCCATTTTCTATTTCTTCCTAAACTTTATCTTAACATTTACAAATGTAAATGTTGCTACCGGTCATTATGTGCTTAGACTACAGGGTTGAGAAAGCAAGCATGATATCCCCATGACTTCCACTCCATTACATGTCTTATATCAAAAATATAACCCCTTATTCAAATAGGAATATATGAAAATTACTGATATCAGTGGTTCTCAACCAGGAGAGTGTTGCCCTCCAGGTGACATTCACCAATGTCTGGAGACATTTTTGGTTGTGACAGCTCAGGGGAGGGGCTTGCCACCAGCACACCTCGCGTAAGGAGAGACCAGGGATGCTGCTGATCACCCTACGATACACAGAACAGCCCCCACCACAAAGAGTTATTTGTCCCAAAATGTTAATAGTGCTGAAATTAAGAAACCCTGACTAAATTATTAACTATCGTTCTTTTAAAATATAATGGAAGATTAGAGTCTTTTTTAAGGAATAGCAATCTCTGAGGTTGAGATTAGACATAATTTACTTCAACCCAGCATTTACACCAAAGTTCAAGTGGAAGATATGTTCAACCGCACTCCAAAGTGTTCACTCCAAATCCAACCTTCATCCTGCTGCCTCATCATGAGCCTGCTGATTCAAGATTTCAACTCATTCTGTTCATTTAGCCAATATCCTTTGAAGACTCAAGTTTTTGAGTGAATAGAGCCATGAGCAAAAACAGATGAAAATCCCTACTGTGCTAGAGCTTAAATTTTTGTTTACATAAATAGACAAGTTTAATTAGCTAATTAATTAAATTTTTAAAAGATGTGAGGAGTGCCATGGGGGGAGGGGGAAGGCAATGAAGGAAGATAAAATTGCCAATTTGGGAGAGGAAAAGCTCCCTGGGGTGAAATTTGAGTGAAAACTTAAAAGAATTGAGGGAGGGAGTTGGCCAAGTAAATATTTGGGAGGAGACTCACCAGGCAAAGGGGTCTGTGCAAAGGCCCTGAGGCCTGAACTTGCCCCACGTGTTAGAGGACCAGGAAGCAGGCCACTGTGGCAGGAGCTCAGTGAGTGGAGATAAGCATCCAGGCCAGATCATGCACAGCCTTTGTCTAATGTAAGGAATTCCACTTTTGCTCCGAAGAGGTGGGAAGCCTTTGAGAGTGACAATATCTGACTGATTTACTATGGTCCCTCTGTGTTGAATAGACCACAGGTGGGCAAGGACAGAAACAGAGGTCCCATATAAGAGGCTACTATAGTAATCCACTGTCTGAACTTCTTCTCCCTGTTTCTTGGTGAAAAATAACTGCAAACACCCTTTCGCACTTTTCTCTGGCCCCCAGACATGCCGCAGTGGTTGCTTCAGCTTACTAATGCTTGCCCTCCCTGCCAGGGACCAGCCTCTCTAGGTGTAATTAATGAGCCCCTTCATAAGGGCTACAGGTGAAAATATGACCCATGTAAGACAATCTGAAACCACAGAAATTATAACATGTCCTAGGGGTGTTCTGAAAATGAGGCCACTGATTTTGCAGTGACAAATACAAGAAGTGTGAGCAGCATGGAGTGAAAAGATGTGAAGGAACCAGATGAAAAGTTTGTCGTGTATCTCTCGGATTGCCTACTTGTCAGGATGTTTAGATTCTTGGTTATCATTCTGAGCGCTGCAATATCCCTAGAATGCAAAAGGACAAGCCATCAGGCTCACAGAGTTTGATAGAAGTCCCATTAATATACTTCTCTTCCTCTCTCTGAAATATTCCAAAGGTCATAAAATAAAACTTTATTGTTTTGATCACTGTAACTAGATTACAAAACGTACTTCTCTATTAGATAATCTTTGTAATGCTTGTGCTTTTTTTTAAATTAAAAAAACAAAACTCAACTAAAATGGCTTACGTATTTTGGGACTTTATCTCAAACAAGACAGGTTGGTAAAGTCAGTATTTCAAAGTCTTCAAGGACCCAGGTGTTTCCACCTTTTGACTGCATCTTCAGTTTGTCAACCAAGACTTTTCAGGATGGTTTTGAGGAGCATCAGGCATATTTGGCTTAAAGTAAATAAGGCCCAGGTGGGTGGGGAGGGATGGGGCCATGGGGTGATGGGCATTAAGGAGCGCACTGGATGTAATGAGCACTGAGTGTTATATGTAACTGGTGAATCACTAAATTCTACCCCTGAAACTAATACACTATATGTTAGCTAAATTGAATTTAAATAAAAAATTTTAAAAAGAAAAATAAATTAGGCCCAAACCCCAGTGGAGAATAGATCCAGCCTCCCCAGTCATGTGGCCACACAGACCATGCCAGCAAAAGGAAGAGGTAGACTAGATTTGGGAAGCAACCAACAATGCCTATAAATTTTATAAATTTACACTTTTATCAGTCAAGCTGCTATGAGTCTCAGTAGCTTGACTTAAGCCCCTCAATCTTGTCTCTCTCATCAAGAGCTGTTAAAATAACAACGTTCTCAACTGGCAAAGCTGAGGAGCAGGCCTTGAGTCTCCTCCACACTTACCCAGCAAATCAGGCCTGAAATACCCAAAAGAGTTTGAGCACAAGAGTTACAAGAAAACTAAATCTGCAAACCAATATCCCTCAGGAGAATAAATGCAAAAGCCGTTAACACATACCATCAAATCAATGCCAGTAATGTGTAAAAGAATATGGCTGTATATCACATTGGGTGTTTATCCCTGGAAAGCAAGTTTGGTTTTCCATGTGAAAATCATATAGCATAATTCACTCTATTAGCAGACTAATTAGAGGAACAAAAAGAATATGTTTGCATATAGAGGAAAAGGCATTTGAAAACATTCAACACCCATTCATGATAAAAATTCTCAGCAACTTAAGGATATAACTGAACATCCTTGTTCTGATCAGACCTTATTCTTGCAGAAAGCGCCCAGCTACGGTGAATACTTACGTGAAAGTGAATGCTTTCCATCAAAGATTAGGAACGGGGCAAAAATCACCATTGCTATAACTTTTATTGGATATTGTACTGGAGATCTTAGCCAGTAAAATAAGGCCAGAAAAAAGAAATAAAAATAATGGAAAGAGGTACAATTTTTATTCCCATGTGACATGAGTGTATATATGTAGAAAATTGTACTTTATGGAGAAGCTTCTAGAACTAAGTGCCCTTAGCTAGATACAAGTTCAAATTATAAAACTCAATTTTATGTCTATATGCTAGCAATTAATCATTGGAAAAACAAATATTAAAAAATGTATCTTGAAAGCATGAATAAGTAGTGAGATAAGTTTAAGAAAACATGTCCAAGACTTAGACACTGAAAAGCACCAGACATATCTGATGGAAGCGGTGGAGATAAGTGGGAGGGATTCGTTATGTTCATCAATCTGAAATTTTAACACTGCTAAGATGTAAATTCAATCCATATTTATCTACAGATTCGGTGTAATCCAAGCCACATGCC